CAACTTTGTTTTTGCCATAAAGAAGCTGACATGGCTTTAAAATCTGTATTACTACTATTAAACGTTTTTATTTTTATTTTTTTACTTTATTAGACTATTAATTATTTTCTTTAATTATATATATGTATATATATATATATAGTACAAGTATTGCATGTGCAGTCTGGAGGATACATTAAATAATTAGTTTTTCAATTTAAATTCACTATGACTAAATGTAATGTAAGAACAAGAATTTTTTACATTTTTTTTATATTTTTAAGTACAGCATATCATACAGCAAGACACTTGAAATCACCCATAAACATGAAAAACACATGCATGTACATTTATTTACAAAATGTACAATCGAAATGTCATGCGAACATGGTTCATGAACTCATTGTTATGCTTTTTATTATAGTCGGTTTGTGTTGTTTGTTGGTACTTTCCATTATGTGCCACTTGCAGAATTCTATCTCTACATTGTAGACCTATGAGACCCTTCATAAGTCTTAAATGTGTCAATTCAGTTGCTGTTTAAGCTTCTCAGTGTGATTATTCATGCAAGTTATTATCCTGACCGCTTCTCAAGGCTTTTAGACGGCAGGTTACTTTTCCCAGCGCTGATATGAAAGAGCTGATCACAGCAATTTCTGATTTATAGATGAGGATGTTAAAGAATACTTTTATAGAGATGTGTGTGTTGCTCAATAGAAATCGTTATACTGAGCCGTATGTCGCCCCCTGGTGGAAGACACCTCCTGTCTTCACCTGTATAGAAAACAATATTTACCGCCCAAAGGGCCTCAAGTCCGCTCTAGGAGCAAGAATGTCAGCGTATCGAGAAAAATAACGTCTCTGTCTGAGAAATGGTTTGACATAAGTGTACAATGTTGACTTTGTCAAGGTAATATATAGCGTATGGTTCAAATACTACCTGCAGTTTGATTCTTTACCAAAAGTTTCTCCGTGAATTCACCATCCACTGTTTTTGTCCGATGACAGATCTCTAGCTTAACGTATGGCATTATACGTGGTGTGTAGCACACATACAAAACACTAAACAGCTTCTTTGTATAGAAAAAATATTTCCCTTACCCTTAATTTGTTGACTGGCCGTCACAGTGTATGTCGTGTATAATGCATTATCCACCGCTTCGGTCCTCAATAGTTTCTAAACGCGTATAGATCTCTATCAACATTTTTTTATTTAAAAATAAATCCTTTACAGCTGTTTTAATCCGCCTAAATGGCTCAACAAAACCAACAAATAACGTAAATATCGTAATATTTAATTAAACGGAAGAAAAAGATCGTCGTCTCTATATGTTATAAAGCGCTACTGTATCATCCAGTTTCAATTTTAATATCGCAGCCAGACAATCGCACACCAGTTTCCGCATTCTGCTCGTCCGCCCTCTCGCGAGATTTCATTTAAAACTCAAGGATGGAACTACTTGTTTATTTGGAATGAGACGGGTTTTGTTTTTTTTTTGATTTGGATCCTGCATTACACATGCCTTACCAGATTTCTGAAATGGTTTGTAAATATAGTGTATTATATTACTATAAAAACAGTAGTCTGACCATAATTTATGTCCCATATAACACGCAATTTAAGTAAAATACACTGTAAAAAATGCTGGGTTGTTTTAACCCAACTTTGGGTCAAATATGGACTAACCCAACTGTTAAAATTAAATTACATTTTTCAATTACACTTTTAACCCAAAAGTTGGGTTAGTCCATATTTGACCCAAAGTTGGGTTGAAACAACCCAGCATTTTTAGAGTGTACATTAACGTGTAACACGTACTATGATTTTCACTGATACAGAATGTATATTTGTGCATATATGCAAAATATTTAAAATATTAAATGGCTTATTTATCTCTTTTTTATATTTAAGGTAGGCTACAGATGCATGTGTATGTACATTAAATGAAAATGTTTTGTTTAAACATATTTAACGTGTTGTGTATTCTATAGTTTTGTGCATGCTTATATTTATTTTTTAGAGCTATCACTGTATATTTAGTAATATACTAGATTTTTTTCTTCTAAATGTGGGGCTTATTTAGAGTTCTGCGTAGAAAAATACTTGTAAACTGTTGCAGATGGCATGAAACTTATGATCTCAGCTGAAGAATATTATTGTTATACTGGTGTTTTCTTTGTTTCTGGTTGTTCTCCAGGTGTGTTTGGTGTTGAGACAGATCCAGTGGAGATACGTGAATTGATGGAAGGAGATTCTGTCGTTCTAGACACCAAGTGTATTACCAAACTACAGAAAGATGATAAGATAGTGTGGAAGTTTGGATCTAATGTCATAGCTACAATCAAGGCCAATAATCCCTTATTATATGACACTGATGATGCAAGATTCAAAGACAAACTACAAATAAACGATCAAACTGGGGACCTCACCATCAGAAACACCAGAACCACACACTCTGGGTTTTATGAAGTGAACATCACCAATATCACTCACACAACATACAGGAGATTTAGTGTTACTGTCCTTGGTAAGCACTCTTTTATGACAAAGAGGAACATATTTTAATACTTAATTTTTCTAAATGAACTGCAGTGTTTGGGTCATACAGAATGTTTCTTTTAATTTAACACACACACACATATATATATATATAAGTCTATATTTGTGCTTTGTCATATTACAGATATTTAATGCCAATGGTGAAATAAATATGTTGATGTATTCGTTTGTAAATAATATTTTATTTGCACTTGTGATTTTTTTTCTCTGAGTATTTTCTGAATGTGTTTTTTATATTATATTTTATATATATATATATATATATATTAGAATTATTGTCAGAACACAATCATTAACATCAGTTATTTATGTGCATTATTCTACATGTATTTCAGATGCGATTCCTACAAAAGTTTCAGTAACGGCGGGAGAGTCTGCCCTTTTACAGCATAATATTGCTGATATACACATTTATGATGTGATAGAGTGGAAGTTCGAATACGGAGAGACTCCCATAGCTCAAATCAACAAACAAAACAGTAAAAACCCCTCATATAATGAAGCTGATGAGAGATTCAGAGACAGACTGCAGCTGGATCAGACCGGCTCTCTGACCATCACAAACACCAGAACCACAGACTCTGGACTTTATAAGCTACAGGTGCAAGGTACAAACATACCGACCAAACACAGGAAGTTTCGTGTTACGGTCGATGGTGAGTAGATCAACGTTCTCAAAGTGTTGTTTGTGCTAGTCATTTTAATGTTTGTAAGTAATAATTTGCATGGAGAAACCCTGAACTGTGTAACTGATTGAAGATTCATATAAACGCTTAAAGATGCTTGTCATTTATGTATTTATTTTAAAACTGACTGTCTCTCTTTGTCCATTACAGAATCTGGGTTGTCCATAGGCATTATAGTGCTGATATGCGTGTGTGTTATTGCACTGATCTTGGTGGTGGTTGGGATTTACTGTCGGCAACGAAGTCGACAAGGCCAGTATTAACCAAAGTAAGCATTTTTAATGCAGAATTTTGAAATGTTATGTTGAACTTAATGATTTGCTGCATTGTTTAATGACATCAGTGATTGTTCAGACAATATTTATAGTATTTCACTAAATGACAGCAGAAGAATACTTCAATGATTTTGAGATCTGGTTTCAATTTCACATTTTAGCCAGAAGGTTTACCTTCACTTGTGCCAATACACTTTATACTGTCTTTTATTACTCTTTCTGTGCTTACTTTCAGGTGAAGATAAAGGAAATGGGGTACAGGATCCATTGAAAGGACAGCAATAGTTCAGTGCTTCTGTAACATAAGCTGTGGATGAAATCAACCTGTGTGCTGCTGAGTTGTAATAGAGAATATGCTTACATATGTTGTACATTCGTTGGAACAGTTTGCACTACATGCTGATCAATGATCCTATTACTTTATGGTGCACTTCTTTTTTTTGCGTATAATTATAAGATATCGTACCTGTTATTGATACATATATAGTCATGGTGGCTGGTGGGACCATTGAATGCAGCTTTGAAAGTTTTAGGTGCAAATTCTTTAGATCACCTGACATCTGAAGGTGTCATTTAAAAAAAAAAAATAACAATAATAAAGTTTTCCTTAGAGATTGATTCATGCTTTAAAGGGGATTATAAAAGGAGATTGTGTGATAGATGTTTTCTTCATGTGCAAACGACTTAAGGGATGAGGCTGTTTTGTGGTTAAAATCTGCAAATGCATTTTTTTTTTTCATGGTGTTATGGAAATGTGCCTCTTTTTTTATGTTTTTAAGATCTATATTTTACTGTGACTTTGATACTGTGTTTACATGGGGACAGATTATGATAAACTCTTGTGAACGGTGATTTGGGTGTTGAATGTGACCTGTTATGTAGGCCCACATATTTCTTTTTTAATTATTATTGTGAAATTCAAGCTTTTTTTAAATCATTGAGATTCATAAGTAATATGAATTCCAAAGTTATTGCACTTATTGTAATAATTCATTGAATTACCTCCCCCTCCCAACAACATGTTTTTATGTTCTTAGGCTGCTAGTTTGTAATTGAAAATCTTGATGCCTTTTTGTATATTGGGAAATATCTGGAATAATAAAGAAGGAACATATATGCAGCGACATTAATCACAATTTTTCTCTGGAATTTTTATAGCATCCAATTAACATGATTTCAGTGGTGTCAGATATTGAGGGAAAAAAAATAAATTCATTTACATGATCTAGTGTAATGTTTTCTAAAAGTGTAAAAGTCTCAGAACATACATTTTGAAAAAAACTCATTTTCTGAACAATGGAAACATCTGTTGGTCAAATGTAGGTACAAGAGGAAGTGGTACTTAGGTGGACGATGGTCCGGTTCCTGTTGTTGTATTCACACATGACTGAATAACTCTTAGAAGTCGACTGGTGAAGGTAGCCTAGATCTAAAACCACCTTAACCAGATTTAATAGAGCCGGTCGCTAGAAGGCGCTGTAAACTGACCTACAACAGAACATGCTGCTGCCTACAGCAGGTGTTTTTCAGCGTTTTCCCCATCAAAAAGCAAACGCACTGGTTTTTCTTTCTTTCAGCACAGCCATCGTTATGAAAAAATCATTTATGAATTTCGGAATCGGTCTTCAGTTGGGGTTTTAGCTTGTAATTCTCTGTCAGTTTGGCTGTGGCTAGGAAACCACCCATAATCAAACGGCCAGTCTTCTCAGATTTATTTAAATAATCGTCGTAGTAAACTCATATTTTACTAAGATGTTCAGAAATATGAAGAATCTAGTTGTCCTCGCTTTTTTCTTGTTTTTCGCTGACGGTAAGTCGTGGAATTCTGTTCATGTTTGGTCACTTTCGTTTCACTCAATGGAAACAGGAAGTGGGGTGCGTTTGTTGACATTTAAAATATTTTTGGAACTATTTTATAGCGGTAGTAAGTCGTGTATACACCTTAAATGCTTTGTTTTTGGAGGGAGTATTCCATAAGTGCATCGACACAATAGATATATTGTCCAGATCTACCGCATGTGCTTTGTGTACGTAGTTTGCGTATTTTACGTTTCAGCGTCGTGACGTCGTTGATGTGGGGTTTTTGCATTGTCGCTGTTTTTGCATAAACCATTAAACAGGGCCTTTATTGAGCGAATATTTGTTGTGTGTGCAAACACACGTTTATTTACCTACTTCATTAACATAAAAAATACTATTTTCTGTATCTTCTTTACCTAGCTACAACAAATCCAATTGTTTATTACTGTTACTTATTTACGTAGCCTTTTTGGTCAAATTTGGATTCTGTACTGTTTTATTTATTGTTTATGTATGTTTAAGTTAGTTTTACATAGACCTATTTGAGCATATGACATTTAGTTCGAGACAATTCAGTGATTATAATCTATGTGCAATAGGCAGTGTTGGGGGTAACGCATTACAAGTAACGCGAGTTACGTAATCAGATTACTTTTTTCAAGTAACTAGTAAAGTAACGCATTACTTTTTAATTTACAAGACAATATCTCATTTACTTTTTCAAATAAGTAACGCAAGTTACTTTTTATTTTCCAATTTATTGATTGGCAGCTCTCCTGTCCCCATGTTGAGAGAAATCAGATGTTACTGTAGTTCTAAAATAAATATGAATATGCATTAATTCATCTCACTCACAAAAAAACCCCCACAGATTCAGTATTCCTCAAAATGAATAAAAAAATGCAACTCAGAATATGACGCAAACCTGCAATAATTAAATGTTAAACAACACCAATATCCTTTATGTATTTAATGCCATTCTATTAACCAATGTCTTTGCTTCTTACCTTCGATGATCCAGTTCAACCGTACTAATAAGTAAAAATTACTCTAGACAAACGTGTCTTTTTTTATTGCTGAAGTGTGTTGAAATTTCTTCTTCTGCATTCTACTGTACGGACGTAAATTTACTTTCCCTTCATCCTGAGGCTTATTCATTTCACGTTTGGTATGAAAAGGCTTTTATATTTGCCAAAAATATAACTTTTTTATTTTAAAAACAAACAAGCAAGCCCTGTCCAGATTTAAAAAGTAATGCAAAAGTAACGTAACGCATTACTTTCCATAAAAAGTAACTAAGTACCGTAATTAGTTACTTTTTTTATGGAGTAACGCAATATTGTAATGCATTACTTTTAAAAGTAACTTTCCCCAACACTGGCAATAGGAGTTATATGTTATAAATTAATTGTGTATTTGTTTTCTAGCTGTGTTTGGTTTTGAGACCGATGGCGTGAAGTCGATATCAGTGATGGAGGGAGATTCTGTCACTCTACACACTTGTCTAAATCAAATACAAAAATATGACACAATACTGTGGAAGTTTGAAAACACTCTCATAGCTCAATTCAACAAGGCTTCCCAAACGTTCTCGACGAAAGATGGTAATGATGGGAGATTTAGAGATAGACTGGAGTTAAACACTGAATCTGGATCTCTGACCATTAGGAACATCAGAACTAACCACTCCGGGTTTTATAAAGTGGACATGATCAGCACGAGCGGCTCCTCAAACAGGAGATTCAATGTGACTGTAACTGGTGAGTAGTGCATTGATGATTATATTCAGCAGAAATCTGAACTTGTTGTGGAATTAACACATTGATTACAGTTGGGAATTAATTTACAGTTGTGAAATGGTCGATTTTAGGTTTTACATGCAAATAAATAGCATTACATTGAAAGTGAAAAAACACAGATTAAAACACCATTTATTCATAATATGTGTCGACAAAAATCATACCCAGACAGCTGAGAATTTTTAAAAGTGAGAATCACAACATGACTAGAAACTGAACAACAACAAAAAAAACATTTAAAGCATAAATAACAGCAGCAAACAATGAAGGGAAGCTTTGGGTTTAAGCAAACAGATAGATCTCACCTGGATTATTTCATTACATTGAAACTCTATCCTTGTAGTGAAGATTTAATCCGTGAAAGAAGGTCCCATCACAATCAGCTTTTCTTGAAATGGGTCCCTAGGTTTGTGCAGTTCATTCCCTCTGTTTGGCCTTCAAACTCTCTCTCTTTGTTGTCTTGTGACCTGCCAGCCCACTCCCATAGTAAGAATCCCACAGTTTTTTTTTTTTAGACCACATTGTAGTGAGGTGGTCTGGTTCCTATATATTATGCAAATAAATCTGAGGAAAGTTGTCACATGTGTTTTGTATATTGAACTTTTCTACCTTTATTAATTACAATACTGGTTGTCTAAAACATTAATGTGAAAATTTTGAAGTAGTTACTAATTGTTTGCCTTTGTAAAGTTTAGACTAGTATTTAGTATTTAAAATCCCCTTTAAATGTATTGTTTAAATGTATTGTATCTATATACATTAATTTGGTGTAGTTGTGGTGCAAATAATCATCTGTGACACTCTTCCAGGTGTGTTTGATCCAGATGCAGATAAATTAAAGCCTGTGTCAGCAAAGGAGGGAGAATCTGTCACTCTAAATACTGATTTTAAAGTACAGAAAGATGATCTGATGCTGTGGAAGTTTGGACGAGCCACAGTCGGATGCAAATATAATCCACTTCATCATGTCCCGTGTCAAAGTGATGTGACTGCAATCGCTAAAATTGATGGAGAAACCCGTGAGGTCTCATCAGATACTGGTTACAGTGAGATGTTTAATAATAGACTGAAAATGGACAAACTGACCGGATCTCTTACCATCACAAACATCAGACCTGAACATTCTGGGTTTTATATACTACAGATTAGTAATAACACTGGGACCAAATACAGGAGATTCAACGTTACTGTTAGTGGTGAGTATCACAGGCAATTTTAAACTGCACTTTGATTTTATATTAAGTTATATATTAGAATGTTTTTGGGAATTATTTTACTATATAGTGTAAATGTATTTAAATGAGATGCAGTTATCCTAAGATTCTCATTTTATTTGTGTCAATATGTGAGGTAGTTTCTCAACACTGTGCTAATTTCCGATAATTTTTTTAGCCGTCACGAAATCCCACTCGCATGTAGTTTGGATGTCAATCGCTATAGTGCTTTTGTTGATGGTGGCAGTTTGGTGTTTGGCTACGGGCTTTAAAAACAGGCGCAACAGGAACTGTAAGTAACAGAAATGCAAATCTTTTCAACAAATTTTGTTAGGTGTTTCTTTAGGTGTAATTATTATAATAATGGGTTATTACAAAATAATCTCATTGTGAAAAAAATACTCAAGTGATGGAAAATAGATACCACTGAGATGCATTTAAGAGGGGTTATGTGGTTTTACCTTCATTCCTAGTTTTGTTCGGGAAACTGAGGTCAAATAACTGCTGTCAATCTACAGGGGCGCAGGAACCGGGTGAGTGTTTCCTTCAGATAATACTCAGCTTCCTGTGCTTGAGTGTGAACATAATTAATCTATAATAGTGTAAATGGACTTTTCTTTATTTCTTACTGACAATGTTGTTCATTTGAATTCTGGCTTTGTTTGACCAATGTTTGTTGATAAAACAGAATCAATGCCAAAGTCAGTGATAGAGGGAGAGCCTGTCACTCTCAACACTGATCGTACTGAACTACAGAGAGGTGGTGTGATAGAGTGGAAGTTTGGAGGCAGCGTCATAGCAAAAATCAGCAGAGCAGCCAATAAGATCTGTCAGAAGACTTATGATGGTGCTGATGAGAGGTTCAGAAACAGACTGGAGCTGGACTGTAAGACTGGATCTCTGACTATCACAAACTCCAGAACCACAGATTCTGGAGATTATCAACTACAGATTGCCACCAATGGAAAAGTGGAACTATACCGAAAATTCAATGTTTCTGTCTTTGGTGAGTAGCTCAGATTTGCTTGTATATATCATCATTAAGATGCACTTTATGAATTTTTACCTGTTATGTTTTTTGTGTAGTAGGACAACAACATTATCTCTTCACATCTTCGGTGATTATTCTGTGCTTTCTTATAGATTCGAGTCAAAACATACCTAAAGAGTCAGTTGAGTCTCCTTTGATGAGTGAAGAGATGGAGTTGGAGTTGGTATAATGCTATTAACATTGATGAGAAATGTGTCATATATGCATATATGTTATTTGCCTCTAAAAAGTTCTACACCCATGAATGACCAAGAACTCGCCATATCAGAAATGTTATGTACATAAAGTGCAGCTAATGTATGTGAATGTTGTGTTTTTGTACATATCCTTGAGCCTGTGATGTGTTTACCGACATGCTTTTGCTGAAATAATACATTTTATTTACTTGTGTCTAGCACTGTAATTTTCTAATTGATATGCCTTTTTCTGTGAGCGTATAAAGTACTTAATCATATCTATAATGCACTTTGTATGACTGTTTAACCAAATAATAATAGAAGACACTACGGCTTTAGCACTGCTATTATGAAACACTGGAAATACAGCATTGTTGCTTTATTTTTTTTACGTTTGCTGCTCAGTGAATAAATGTGGGAGAAAATGGCCTCAATTTTAAATTTCCATTTGTGATTTGGTACTTTGAGTCTTATTTTTTGTTGAATATATTTATTATTATTATTTTTTTTTTTTTACAAGTGTTATGTAGCCTACACTCTAAAAAATGCTGGGTTAAATACAACCCAGTGCTGGGTAAAATAGGGACAAACCCAGCAATTGGGCTGTTTTGACCCAGCGGTTGGGTTACTACCCAGAAGGTTGGGTTAAACATTTAACCCAACCGCTGGGTTTGTCCCTATTTAACCCAGCATTTTTTAGAGTGTAACTCTAAAAAACAGAAATTCAATCTTGACAATGTATTGTGTTTTCTATCAGTTTGTCATGTGATCAGATCTGACTATGAAATCTTAAATGTGACATGAATTTAAATGTACTTTTGAAACTGATTCGCTGCTGGTCTATATGCTCTTACTCTAAAAAATGCTGGGTTAAATATAACCCAGTGCTGGGTTAAAAAGGGACAAACCCAGCTATTGGGTTGGTTTGACCCAGCGGTTGGGTTGTTTTGATTTGATTGGGTTGTTATATTTAACCCAGCATTTTTTAGAGTGTACTGGGAATGATGGGTTTGTTTTTCCTTTTAACTCTTAAATTTACAAAATATGTAAAAGAGAATTATTATATAAATAAAAAGTAAACTGCCATATGCAAACGATTTAGCATCTTTGTGTCAGTTTGTTCATTGATATTCATAGAGGTGTATATGTATGTACATATATATATGTTTATGAAGATGTTTGACTTTTTGACCTTTGAGACACTTTGAAATTGTATGACGTCAGACAGTAGTATGTCCTTATTCGCAGAAGTCACGTGACTTGGTAGGTTTGTCTCGAGTCTCTCATCAGCACCGTGAATCACTGCCGTCATTCAGTTTGGATGCGGTCAGAAGCGGCGTTAAAATGCGGAACCATTCTCTAATTTTGTGGGTTTTATTATTCGTGGACGGTGAGTCGGTTTTATTTTAATAAATTCAGCACTTTCGGTTTCAGTAGGCAATGAACTGGACACAGATAATACGCATTTGCTATTATTATTTTATATCTCCAGTGTTTCCTAAAACTTTAAACGATATTTACTTATCTATAAACAGATGTTGTGATGAGTCGCACTGTGAATAATGACACATGACAGCTTATGTTTTGTGGTAATGAACTTGTGCACGTGTGTGTTTAGTAGTGAAGACTAGAGGGCGCTGACGGCCTTTAATATTCTGCGCATCAATATTTTACATTAAAACTGACAACACCACAAACGCATTAGTAGATATCCCCGCCGTCAATCCGGGCTATAGACAGAGCACATATTTATTCATAAAGCTGTTATCAATGTGAATTAAAGTGTTATTGTTAGGCGTGATAATCCTGTTTATTGCTTCAATAAACCGGAAATAGTAAACACGCCCTTGAGATAAACCATCATTTTCAAACTCGTAATTATCGCTTTTGCTTTGAAGTGCTTTACTGAATGATGTTGTAACAGTACAGTAGGTGGAGTGGGTTTGAATTACTGTGGTAATCAGCAGTATTTTAATTAAATGTATTTGAAATACGTATTTAATGACTAAATACGTAGCCTAGCCTATTGTGTACTTTGTATTTTGCTGATCAATAAAAATGAAATGTAATTTGTAATTAGATACTTTGAGAGACCGTAGTTTGTATTTGAAATACGCAAAATACATAATCAAGTGATCAAGTAAATAATTTTAATACAACATATTTGTTGTACAATAACATTATACATGCATTTATTTATCACACCGTGCTTCTTAATTACATTTCCTTGCATTTGTACATAACACTCATGTACACACAAATACCATATATTGTTTATTTTGTGTATTGTGTTCTTTCCAAAAAAATTATTATTAAATATTTACTTATTCTATATATGTTTATTATCTGTGTCTTGTCTTTTTACTGTCATTCTGTTTGTGCTGTGGAAGCCTCTGTCGCCATAACAAATTCCTTGTATGAGTAAAAAGCTCTTTCTTCACCTGTGTTACTAGTACTGCCAACTACCATAGCTTCTGGCTAGATTCAAGTGAATCAGATATCCTGTTGGATCCTGGTTAGTCCCCCCTCCAAAAAACAAAAACAAAAAAACAAATCACTTGTTAATTACTCACCCTCATGTCATTCCACTCCTGTAAGGCTTTGGAACATAAATTAAGATATTTTTTTAAAGCTTTCTGTCCCTCTACAGACAGTCATGCAACTTACACATTCAAAGTCCAGAACAGTAGGAAAGACATCATTAAGTAATCTGTCTGGAGTTTATAAGGTGGAGATCAACACCATCAGTATGATCTTGCACAGGAAATTCAAAGTTACTCTTGGTGAGTAGCTCAAATTTTCTGTAAGATTATATTTTTGTTATCATATTTTAGCGAACAGTTTAGCTGCTCAAATTAACACTTAAATGTACACAGATTTTTCACTGAATTTTAACGTTAAAGATACAGCCTGCAGGCAACTAATATGTAAATTGACAACGTGCCTCGACCTGATATTTATGAAAAATACTCCAGGCTGAGAACACAGTTCACGCTTTCAGATCAGGTCTTGTGGTAGATCGTGCTGCTTCTCGGCGAATTGTCCATTTTATACCCGGTTACAGTAGGCTATAAAATGGACCACCCATCAGTGGTGACACCCAGTAGCTAGACTGAAAATTTGATTCAAGGTTCTTGAATGAAATGGACAGAACTAAACCAGTAACTAGGCAGCAAATTATATATATAAAAAAATCGTCATGTCTTTTATAAGCATCTTAAAATGCCAGTTGCACAATTAATAAAAATGAGTACCATCAGCCATTCAAAATTCATCAGTGCCAACTATTTTAATTTTGAATGGCTGATCCTCATTAAAGGAGGTCCTCTTTGAAGTGCTACAAGCTCTTGGTGCGTAAAGAAGATCTGTAAAGTTGCAAAGACTAAAGTCTCAAATCCAAAGAGATATTCTTTATAAAAGTTAAGAGTCAACAACGCCTACCTAAAACGGCTCGTTCAAACATGCCCCCACATACCTACATCACAATGTGGGAAGATTTGCATAACACCGCCCAAATGTTCACGCAAATAAAGAAGGCGTAACTTTTATTCTTGCTGTAGTATTGTTGCTGCCGCCATGTCGTAAAGACGCTGTGTTTTGTTGTGAAAGCGAAACTACTTTCTTTGGCCTTCCAAAAGAGGACAATATCCGCTTCGTCATGCCTAGAGCTGATCCGTGCTGGTCGCTGAGGAAATACATCAACTTTGCGCTGTGGACGAAGTGCAGTCCAGCCCGGGGTCGTCACATGTGGTTGCTGCACGCCTGCCGGCCGCTCCATCATCGAATCCGCCGGCCGCAGCTCACTCTAGCCTGCCGTGTGTGACGCTGTGTGTTTTGTTGTGAAAGCGAAACTACTTTGTTTGGCCTTCCAAAAGAGGACACAGCTAGAAATCAGTGGTTAAGTTGTATGTACAACACTGTTCCAGAACAGTTCAACCCAAATATTCAGATGTGTGCAGCACATTTTATGGAGGACTGTTTCCTGTTCCTGGTAGAGTAGACTACAATGCCGGCAGTTCTGACTCACAGACTGTAAGTACGTTTAAATATTTAAAGAATTTGCCACTGACGATTCAAACGCAAGTTTTGGGTAGAGTAGAGTAGCGCTTGTTGTTTGTCACTTCTCCGATCACAAATGCAGACATGGTTTTATGTTTACGCGGCATGATGCAACGCGTAAAAAGACAGTATAAGTCATTATAATCCGTAATTATGTCCCCACTTGATGCAACAATGCCTCGTTTACAATGTTTTTGTGTCATTGCTCCGGCCGGGACACGGCATCACAGTATGGTGAGGGACGTAACATTTCCGTCACATGCTTGAGGTATTCGGTCAATCACAACGCACTGGATAGCTGGCCAATCAGAGCACACCTCGCTTTTCATACCGATGAGCTTTGTAAAAATCAACGTGTTTCAGAAAGGCAGGGCATAGAGGAGCAACAATAATGTACAGTATGTGGAAAATAATGTTTTTTTTAACCTTAAATCGCATAAACATATTTCATTACACCAAATACACAAAATAATGTTCTTTTTAGCAACATCACCCCCCTTTGACCCCTTTAAATAGTACAAATGAACCAAAGTCTTGAGTTTTGTCTGTAGTTATTAATAGTTTTTATATGCTCATTCTACATATAGTGTGATCCAAACACTGTCATCACAACTGTGCTACTGTTATATTTTGTATTTTATATATATATATATATATATATATA